AGTACTATTGGTTATCACTGGGGATCGAATGAGAGCAACCCTGTTTCGCCCTTCAACATTCGCCTCAGGATGCTCGAAGACTTCATTTTAACTTCTATTTCGAACTAAATGCAACTCAAAGCCGAGTTTAAAGCGAGATTCCTACGCGTACATGCGAGAAAAGTTCCCCAAATAGTCCAGTCCTCTCGGCATTCCCGCGCTTGAAAACGACTCTGGTTCCAGAAATTAACCGTAGTAATGTAGTACCCCTTCGAGAGACATGTCCCCTGGGATTGGACTTCATAAATTCTCCTTAAACAGACATATATTTCTCTCTCCCTCTCTTCTCTTTTCCTTCCCAGCTTTGAATGCCTAGCCCTCTTCTTCTCTTCCATCTATTCCCTTCCCCCATTTTGAATACATATCCCTCTTTTTTTCCTTTCCCCATTCCCCCAATTTTGAATATATATATCTAAACAAAATTCATGTTTAGAGACATGTTTTTGTGCCTGGTAAAATGAACTTTTTATCCATTTATTTTTGTGAAAATGTTTGGTCTGATGAATTAATACCGTAGTATCAGTTTTAATTAAATAAAATATTACGATGTTATTTTAAAGTCTCCGTTTTCATAATAATTAATTATATACAGATACATACATACATACATACATACATATATATATATATATATATATATATATATATATATATATATATATAGAAGTGAATATTGAAGTCAACACTCAGAGGCGACAGGTTGTTTTCATGCTAGACGCAATCGTCAGACCACTAGTCAATCTGACGATTGTATCTAGCATGAAACAGCCGGTCGCCTCTAAGTGTTGACTTCAATGTTCACTTTTATATTTACACACGCTCTATCTCTAATATTGAGCACTTTATATCATAAATATAGCATACATTAAGAGTATATTTTTTCATAAATATATATATATATATAGTGTATATTTAGGGAGTAATTTTTCATTGATGCATGTTTCATTAAATAATATAGACAAGTTTTGTCTATTTATTTTAAGTAAGTTTCTTTCATATTGTCTGATAAGCTTAATAACATTATCATTGAAAGGCGAAAGGAAATCACCATATTGATACATGTTTTTTTTAATCCTATCAAAGCTTTCGGCTTACATATGCCATTATCAAAGATGAAAATTACATTTCAATATATTAAACAATACACTGAGAAAACAATAATGATGGTCTGTTTTTGTTGCATGAAAAATTTCAAAGCAAACTCGTGTATACGAGACGCGGAAGCGAAAATCGCATCGCAGCTCGTGACGTTACACATGACCACAGAAGAGGGAAAACGAGAAGTTTTAAGTATGGGGAGCCATTGGTATAAACCAATGGCTTCTGTTATCAATTATAGACATTTAAGAATATTTGAAACCTAACCTGAACAAAATAAACTATGAAATCTCCACAAGTATGGTGGACTCTCCCATCGTATTCGACGTATTAGGGTCAAGCAATTCAGTTCTTAGGGACAGACAGTCAGATATATTTCGTTTGAGATCTTGGGGAGGAAAAGTGAATTTGTAAATAGTGATTATTACTGCTGCTGATGCAAAACTCTTCGTTAAAACGAATCGAGTTCTGCACTCACTGGCGTGTTTCTCTAAAAATAAATATGTTTAAATTCACCTTACCGTACGCCAGTGGCTTAGGGGTAGAATCTCCAACTGATACCAAATCAGTCGGAATTTGATCGGATGTCTAGCCACACTAATGACCTGTCTGTGAATGACAATATGTATATTGAGTATATTTTGTCAGCATGTTTTCACTGAGACATGTTTCATTGAATAATGCAAACAAGTTTTGTCTACTTAATTTCAATTGAATACTTTCATATTCCCTGAAAAAGTTTTTGGCATCATTATGAAAGGAAGAGAAAAAAAATCATCGTGTTGATACTTATTATTTAATTCCGAGTATTTTCGACATAGCACATAATGTTGATGACATTATATTATGTCGAAATTACTCAGAATAAAATAATATGTATCAACACTGTAATTTTCTCTCTTTTTTAATAATGACACCTAACTTATTGTCCGTGAATATAAAAAGATCCAGTACAAGTAGACAAAACTTGTCTAAATTATTCAATAAATCACACACACACACACACACACACACACACACACACACACACACACACACACATATATATATATATATATATATATATATATGATAGCGTATTAAGATATCTATAAATATCTCTATCTACATTGATAAATGTATTTCTGTAAGGTTACGAAACTCTGATATTAAGAACAAAATTAGAGAGAAGAATCCAGCCATTATAAATTAAAACGCTACATACTCACCCTACGTCGACTGCACCTCAAATAACACATTACGTAACGCTATCAGAAAAGAGAAAGTTTGAAACAGTATGGACACGTTGTAAGAGTCAGCAGTCCGCCAACTGGCATCCTCAGTAACTACTTGCAATTCGATCACCAAAATCAACCAGTGTCGTTCTCGGTCAGTACTTAGATGGTGTGGCGATGAATGTGGTCATCATGCAACCTTAAGCGACGTTCTACTATCAGAAATATATATTCGGTTTTAAATAACCTACAATGGGTTGATAAGCCGTAAAAAGAAACCAATTACCAACCTCCTAGTTACCTAGGTAAATGAAAAAGAGGTAGACAGAGAAAAAAGAGATTGGCACGCAACTGAGACATTTGGAGGGAGCTGGTCAGGTTCTCAACCATGCAACCACGCCTGGCCAGGGTACTGATGATGATGTTGATTGAAAAATGATAGCTTTATGAAATATGTAAGAATTGCCTTCGTGAAAATACACATTGGAGATAGATACCATTATTATTATTATTATTAATAATAATAATAATAAAAATAATAATAATAATAATAATAATAATTCTAAGTAATGGAAAATTTAAAAAAAAGTATGAAACAAAGAAATCGGAAGTTGTCTGAAGAAAAGACAAGAATGTTAAACCAAGCAATAAACAAGCAGAAAAGAAAAAGAAAAAAAAAACTCGACCCCTAAAATAACCAAATATGAAATAAGATACATAAAAAAAAATAAAAGCTGAAAAAAAACTAAGAAAGAGAATTAAAACAGCCTAAAGTCTGAGGAGAAAAAATCAAGTAAAAATGAAGAGAGCCAATGAAATGATAGGGAGATATTTTGCAAATTCATTGGCAAGAGTGATGAGAGCATAATTGTAAAAGAAATACGTCGACAAAGAAAAGAAAAGCCTAAAGGAGTCCAAAAAATGAAAGGAAGAAAAGTATGGAATGCAGAAAGCTTGGAAAGAATGCCAGCAAATCAGACAAGGCAGAAGAGAAGGCAGCCTAATAGTGCCACTCGTTTAGAAGGCCGTTAAGTAGAAAGCTTCTTAAATAGCTGCAGCCGACATTTTGGCATTTGGTGTCCATGTTCCGTTTCACGGTACATGACTTCCGTTTTACGCACGCATGCGTACAGGGATTCTTTTGCTAAGCAGAAAACACGGATTTCCAAGGGTCCTATTACTATTACTTGAAAGGAGACGGGTTGGAAGATACTTTAGTATGGGAAAGGGAACTACAGGAGAAAAAAAATATTAATTGTAAGAGATATTTGGATGGAATATTATAGACATTTGGATAAGCGTCTGAGGGTCGTTTTTAAAAAAACAAAAAACAACAAAAAATATTTTCTTTTCTTTGACATTTATCAAGGTATTCAGACAGAAAATATCTTTGAAGAAGTAAGGTACAAACAAACGAAACTAAGAAAATGAAAGACGAATTTATGTTAAATGATGGAGCCAAAACAAAATAAAGAAAGACAAAATAAATAATCTTGAAAATTATCAATGGTATCATATACTATCTATCTATCTATCTATCTATCTATCTATCTATGTGATTCAGTTCATTTATATACGATTTAGTTCATATCTATCTATCTATCTGTCTATCTATCTATCTCAGTCTGTTTATCTCTATGTATGTACGATATGATGTATAAAACTATATATCAAACTTGTTGATATAGTGATAGGTGAATGCAAAAAAGGGAAAAAACGCCTCTTCTTCTTCGAAATGACATTTTCTAACTTATAAACAAATTTATCGTAGACTCTTAAATGTGTAATGGTCGGGTAAGAAATACACACACGCACACACACACACACACTATATATATATATATATATATATATATATGGGGGGTGCGCGGATGATATTTCATCAATGAAACCATTATTAGTCTGACGAAGTCCTTTCGAATGACTCTGAATGACATTGGTGTCTATCTTTATCAAGATAGTCTCCCGTATCCAAATTGATAGCGACAGACTTCGGCTATCGGAATAGAGGTTTGTCTGATGGGAAAAGGGATACAGGCACTATGTCTTTATTGGGGCGTTTGTTATTAATTTCTCCGTTTATAGAGAAAAACAGAAAAAAAAAAACAAACTCAAACACACGTGCCCATTAAAAAAAACGTTTATATATCTATATCTATCTATCTATCTTGGTTGATCCGTTCTGTCGAGTGAAGATGGCTCAGTGGTAGAAGCTCTGACTGACACCAAATCGGTTGAGGCATTCGATTGTCAAGTCGCACTGAGGTGCTGTGATAGAGCGAAACAGTACTGTCTGCGAATGATATATATATATATATTCAGACATGAAACACACACACACACACACACACACACACACACACATATATATATATATATATATATATATATATATATATATATATGTGTGTGTGTGTGTGTCATGTTTGCATAACCACTCTGAGGATGTTTCGTGTGGCCGAAAGCTTAGGACCAACTTTAAAAAATATCCAAATGTTGGACAATTTTTTTGTCTTTATTTTCACCAGAAATTAAAGCAAACATTCAAAAATTAGAACAGCTCATGATCAGACATAATAGACATTCATTGCCTGTTATATATATATATATATATATATATATATATATATATATATAATGGAATGGTTAATATATAAAGCAATAACTTTCAATGTCGATATGCTTTAAATAATGACTATAATTCTTACGCCGATGATTGAATAACGCGTAAGCCAAATGACGTTACTTTTGCCTCGCCCTATATATATATATATATATATATATATATATATATATATATATATATATATATATATATATATATATATATTGTTTACTTGGCAGCAGTTACTCTTTTATAAAACTTTCGTTAATGATGACTGAAAAGGCGCGATGAATTTAAGTTGTTTATTTAATTTTTCTTGAGTTTGTATAAATGATTTCTTTTCTGGACACAAATTGTCTAAAAACTGCCCAAATCTTCTGCATATCTGAACGATTTCGGCTACTCTTTTGCCCATCATCAAGGGCGATTTTTTTTCAACAGAATGTATGGCTTTTCGTATGTCTGTGGCTGAAGTCATAGAATGTTTTCTTTTCCAAACATGGTCTGCACGTTTTGTCAATGTTTATAGATAATGGTATTAGTGTATATAAAAAATTATATATAATTTTTATTTAATATATATATATATATATATATATATATATATATATATATATATATATATATATATATATATATATATATATATATATATATATATATATATATAAAACTAAGGAGTGGGTTCGATCCTCATTGGCTGCCCTATACTTTCAGTCTTGTGCAATATTAAAGCTACGTTTGGAAGATCATTATATATATTTAAATTAGGCACACACACACACACACACACACACATACATACATATATATATATATATATATATATATATATATATATATATATATATATATATATATATTTATACGCACGCACATACATGTATGTCAGTGTTTGTAATTTTAAAATAAGAATTGGAAAGCATTTGGCAAATCCATTTTTTAAAAATACCCTTCGATCAATTTAAATAATAGGCCACAAATTACAGACAATATTTGACCAACAGTACTTAAGTCCATGCAACAACGATTAACCCGTAAAAATGTCTCTTTATTCTCTCCGATTCCGACGTAACCCGGTTTAAAATGTTTCGTATTAATCAAATTATGATGCTCGTTAAAAAGTCGTTACACTACTTTAAAAAAATGACTTATGGAAAAGAAAAAAAAAAACAAAAAAAAAACAAAAAAAAAAGAAAAAGAAAAGTACATTGCAATTAAAAAGATTTCGAGGAAACACAATTCTCGTCCGGGAGACGCACTGTCGTAAAATTTCTTTCACACAATTGGTTGATTTTGTTTAACGGCATATCAACATCTTTTGGTTATTTAATGCCGAAAATGCAAATATTTTGAACAAATTTTAAGACTTTAATTAAATATATTTTGAAAACAATTGCATGCTTTCAACTACAGACAAAAATATATTGTTGGTATTTTTTTTTTTATAGAGAAATGTATTGCTGGTATTTTTACTATTTATTCTGCTTTCACAATTGAATATATGGTAGATGATACTCAGCTTTTGCATATACATGTTTGTGTGGACATAATTATTAGAGGCGGTGATATGTGTTGTTTTGTTTCTTTAAGTTATATTTTGGAATACAGTTCGATTTAAGAAACTGTAGGATATTATATGGATTAATATCATGGAAGTTCATGTTGGTTGATTTTGTTTTCCGGCATATCAACACCTATATGGGTTATTTAACGGCGATGTCTAAATGAACTGAGAACAATTTTATGGCTTCTACAGCAGATAAAATGTATTGTTGGTGTTGTTTTTATAAAGAAATTTATTGCTGGTATTTTTACAATAAAAATTTATATTTTCATAGCGTTTTGTTTTTGTTTGGGGATTCACTATTTGCCTATAGCTGGGGCCCTAACAGGTGCTACCACCCCGGATCTAGGTGGATCTGGTAACAATAATTTAGAGGTGCTGTTCAAAATAACCAATCTCCTGATCAGAGGTCTTGCTACCGGGTGTAGTTTATCGCCATACCGAGGACTATCGTTCCCAAGCGAAATCTCTGCCAGTAAATATCAAGTAAATGAATCTTTTTGGGCGCCTGGCGTCTTGAAGCATCGGTTTGAAGAAGAAGAGTATGGCCGACCGTTCGCTGGTCTAAAGAGGTCGAACCTCACACGGTGTCGTCCAGCCAAATTAAATCATGCGTAATAAATACTTGAGGCACCTCGACTTAACTGAGTAGGAAACTCGTGTTTTAAGACTTGAGCCAGACAAAGTAAAGCCTAGAAAATACCTTGTGCGTCTTGTTCTGCAATGCGTTCGATCGTCAACCTTGCAAACGAAGTCATAGGTAAGAAACACACGCGATGCCTCGCTGTGGTTGCCAAACAGTACGGCAAGCCTTGTTGGTGTGGCGCGCCTCATGGGTGTGGCGCGCCTCATGGGTGTGGCGCGCCTCATGGGTGTGGCGAGCCTCATGGGTGTGGCGCGCATCGTAGGTGCGGCGGAAGAGGATAGAAGGGGAGGCGGAATTATTGAAAAACAATCAATGATTTAGAAACGGTTTTAAAAAATTCATATCCCAAAAATAAATGATTTCAAAATGTTAAATATTACTATGGATTACTTGTAATTGCATGCATCAGTCCCAGTATGAATAGTTATAAATAAATATTAACCGATTTTATCATTGAGATATTTCTGCACTATATCAAGTATTAAGAATATAAGAACTAGAGTCCGCAAATTAGAGGAGAGAGTTATCAATGATAATATTCTGGCTTTGAATCCCCGGTTATCTCCCTTTTAACCTATCTCTGTTTTGTTTTTGGTTTTGGTTTTTTAAATGTACTTTATATCACATAGAATTTGGTGAGTTGCGAAGAAATTTTCATTCCGAAAATGCGGCCCAGAGAAAATAGTTTGGGGACAAGACACGTAGACTGTTCAGTACTATCGAGAGATCGATCCTCATTAGGGGACACGTATTTATGGCTTTGAGCCGCTAAAATTTCTTCTTCTAAAACTTTCTTTTTCCTGTGTACCTTCTTACATATGTCTTCCTTTCGACATGCTGGCTTACGGCCATAATACCTTGAAACATTGGTTCTCGTACGATCACCGAAGTTAAGCAATGACGAGACTAGTCAGTAAATAGATGGGTGACAGCTTGGGAATACCAGGAGCTGCAAGGTTGGACGTTCGAGTGGTGTAATGGATGACAGCTCGGAATTGTATTCAGTTACACGCAAATATCATTGGGAAAGGTATGAAGAAAGAAAAGAAATGATAGGAACGAAAAAAGAATGAAAAATGTCATGAAGAAAGAAAGCAAAGAAGCAAACTAAAAAAACGAAATAAAGAATGATGAAGAAGAAACGGGAAGGAAGAAAGAAAAGGAAAATTGAAAGAAAGAAAGAAAGAAAGAAAGAAAGAAAGAAAGAAAGAAAGAAAGAAAAGAAACAAGCAAAAATCAAGGAAAAAAGAAAGGAAAAATGTAAGGAAAAAAATGCAAGAAAGACAATTAAGAAAATGATAGAAAGAAAAGAAAATGAGAAAAGAAAGAAATACAGAAAGAAGGGCAAAAAAAAAACAGAAAAGAAAAACAAGAGAAATTATAGAAAGAAAATTAACAAGCAAAAACGAAAGAAAAAAGAAAAAAAACAAGAAGAAAGAAAAACAAACAATATGAGAAAGAAAGAAAAAAAAGATAAGAAAAAGAAAGGCAGAAAAAATAAAAAATAAAATAAGAGTAAAAGAAAGAAAAAAATGAAAGAAAAAACGAATGAAAAGAAATAAAAAAGAAAAAAGAAAAAGAAAGAAAGTCAGTAAGAAAAGAATGAAACTTGAAAGAAAGAAAAACAGGGGAAAAGAAGGAAAGAAAAAGAAAGGAAAAGAAAGAAAGTCAGTAAGAAAAGAATGAAACTTCGAAGAAAGAAAAAGAGGGGAAAAAGAAGGAAAGAAAAAGAAAGGAAAAGAAAGAATTAAATAAAAAAGAAACAATAAGAGAGAGAGTGAGAGAGAGAGAGAGAGAAACACGAGACAGACAGAAAGAGATGTAGATAAATCTCTTCTTAAAGATGCTTACTGCTTGTTCGTGTCTTTGCATGTGTGTGTGAGTGTTTCTGGGATGTGGCTAAGGGTGTGAAGAGATATCTCATCTCACTGACGATTTAATCCTCTTCCTGCCCGCCTCCCTAGATTTTAGAAAAAGTGTGAAAATCGGACCTCTTGTATTTCGGGCGGTTAAAAACTGATCCATCAGTGTCACCCGCGTCACGACAAGAGTGCTTCATGCACTGTTGCTCCACACGTAGACTCTAATTTCCAAACCTTTACACTATCAACCCGTCCACAAGAGCTGTCCAGGAGAATGGGCCAGTGTCTTGTGGTCCTAACTCTAGTGTGTTCGGAATTTAAGTTTGCGAAGCAAAGAAGTGTGAAATAAACACTTTTTTGGAATCAACGAATAGGCAAAGAAGTATGGTAAAAGGTGACGATTTCAGAGCGATCTCCTGGAATTTAATTTATTATTGGTTTACGTGATTTGCTCATCTCTGACATTTGACGTATGGTGAAAATAAGCAAATGTGTGTTTGTAGGATACAAGGACACCTGTTTGTGAGAAAAATGAATTTACTATCGCAAGATTAAACTTGCGAACCAGTTCTGGGTATGACGATAAGCAACACCCGTTAGCAAGGTCTTTGATCGGGAGATTGAAGGTTTTGAGATCTTTTAATTGATGTTGTTCCCGGATTCACCCTGATCCTGGGTGGTAGCACCTGTTAAGGTCCCAGCTATGGGCAAATAGATAACTATTGCCAGCAATACTTTTTGAAAGAAATTATTACCAGCAATACAATTTTGAAGGAAAGATATTACCAGAAACAGATTTTTGACAAAACAAAATATTACCAGCAATAAAAAATTTTGTCGCCATTGAATGACCTATTGAGGTTGATACCTTCTAAGGCGTGAGGCTGCAATGTTGTTCTACTGGCGGATGCTGACCGAACATATGAACAAAGAGGAAATCTTGAAAAAAAGGTTGAACTTTCCAAGGCACATAATGAGGAATGTGGAACTGAAAAATCTGATACTTGTAGACAAGAGGGTCAGAGGTAAAACAACGCATAAACAACTAAGAGTGATTAAGTAAATGAATGGCAGAACAAGTTTTAAGAGAAATAAAGAAAAGACAAAATTTACTAAGAGCTACAAAGGACAGGAAATTGTCGAGAGCCATGATTGCCTACGTCCTGAAGGAAAAAGAAGAATTTCCATCCTCTATTAAAACACTACCCAGATATACACTATCTACATTATTCGAACTATTATCCTCATCTTTTTTTGCCTTATTACAACGTTTCGGCCGTTGTACGCTCCGACCTTCTTCAGGTAGTTGGAATGTCGAACTGAATCCTTTATTTCGCACACTGGAGTAGACTATTCTAGTTCCAAGTGCCATATTTTACGGATGTCAGTTATCAGTGATCTCCTGTTAATTCCCCTCTCAAAGTTCTCAACTGCCTTAACGGGGTATTGAACTCACACTCTTTGGGTCCTGTCACTGGATCTAACTAACGCCTTTATCTACTGTGCCATGTGTCCTTGAGGAGACAGCTACCCAGATATATTTAAATTGCTCGATTTGCTTGAGTTTGGTATCTCCGATTTGTAATTTGCATGTTGGACTGTTCTATTTTGCAAACAATTATGTCTATGCTTTCTTGCAATTTATGCTTCGTCCTTTCTTCTTGCTTTCTTTTACTAGCTTCTGTGGGAGTTCTTGTAGTTTCCTTTCGGTGTAAGGTATTTCTCAGAATCGCTTTACTGTATAGTCCGGTGAGAAGACACATCCTTGTCTTAAACCCCATTTTATTTTTGTATAATTACTGAATTCATTTTCTACCCATATGCTGGTGGTTGCCTGTCAGTCTTGGTTCTGGGTTATTCCAATACCTTTACCAAATATGTGGAGCTTATCTACCAATTCCAACATCTCTTTGCGACGTTTTTAACATTAACAGTATGGAATTAAATATATGAGTAATTTTTCTTATGCCTGTGTCGTCTCTTCACGAAATGCATCCAGTAAGCAAATAGGTGCGCAAATAGCATACGCATGTATGATTGTCATAGATATTGTCATCGTGAAACTCGTCGTGTTACTGTGGTACGACACTCTTTACATTGAGCCGACAATAATGCAGCTCTCCATGAAAAAAAAAAAAAAGAAAAATTTTGCCCACTTATTTTAGCGTAAAATAATTGTTATGTCGAACGCAGTCATTATCCGAGCGACCATATTATGAAAAAAAGCCAATGGGATACACATAATGCATTCCCAAGACAGATAATTAAGTATTTACTAAACTAAACTTCGTACTAGAGTCGGAACCGCGAGAACAATCGAACTCCCTTTTCTACTGAAAACCTTTGCCAAACCAACTTGGTGCCTGTCGTTGTTTTTATCAAAGCGACTAAGATTGTTATTACATATTTTAATTGTTTAAATAAACTCTTTGATTTCCACCAGTTTAGACATTTAATGCTAGGGTATGCCATGCAACACCGACGAAGGTGAAATTCACCGAATTTCTGCCGTGTTCGAAAAATAAGAAAAAGTTCCGCTCAGATTGTGTCAAGGAAAATGCTGGGAATTTTTCCATCAAACTAAAAATGATGAAATAGGCTGATAGATTGTAAAATGTCAGAGAAAATCAAAAGAACTATTTTAATGATAACAAAATGGCAGAATGAATCCATACGATTAATTCATTTTGTCAAAAATGCCGGAAACCATTTGCATCAAACAAATATAAAACACATCTTATTTGAACGCCATCGTAAGTGAATAGCGAAAGAAATAGAAAAAAACATAATTTGATGACTGAATAATAATGCTATGAACTTTATTATTGCGAAAAGTTAATGCCAGAAACAAAGAGAACGGTTTCAGTGTGTTAGCTACTTTTCTACGGTTATATTTACATGAAATAATTGTGGTGAAATAGTACATTCACAATATGATCTATCTACCAGAAAGGTTTACGTGAATTAATGCTGGTGAAACAGTACATTCACAACATAACAGAGACTGAATAATCTGCAATACAATATAACATTTATTTAACAAAAATAATAAAAGGAAAGTTTAAGTTTATTTTCCTAGAAGTAAATTGTTTAAACAACGAAAATTGATGATGTATTTCGGTGTGATTTGCCTGCGTAGGAATGTTTCTATGTGAAGCCTCCACAACCCTTTTTGCTCCGGTGATAAAAGTTGATGGCACACACTTCGAAAGGAGGAAAAACAGGAAAAGTGTTTACTTAAGGATATCCTCCGGGCTGCTCCAGATAATATGATTATTAATACACTACTGCTTGGTATCTGCCAGAAAAAATAATGAGTATTTCTCAGATTTATGCCATTTAATGCATCGGCATGTTGCTGATCTTTCTCGGCAGGGCAATATTTTAACCTATCTCTCGTACTATTTTTTTTTGTATGCGCCGTAGAGGCCGGCTTCTGCTTTTGGGAAAATAATATCTTATTAAGAGTTATATTTACTTTCATTTCAAACTCCTGGACTTCTGTATAATAAATGCGAAAATGTCTGTGTGCCACACTTTTTAAATTAAAGGGATAGAACTCTTTAATTTTTAAATATCTCATCTTCAAATGAGACTTGCTCTTCCAGAATTGGAACCGAATCCTCAGATTGCAAATTTAGCTCCCTGTGAAATTGAAGACCATGTGATGAACTTCGCTCAAAGAGATCTCAGCAATTTTCGTCTGCCAAATCCAAACAGGGAAACAGGCCAAATTAATAGAGAAATTTTGAGAGAAACACGACTCAACATGCAAGAACTGCGGTAATGTGTTCAAAACAATGCGTCTCTGTTGAACCCAAATCAGCAGCTTTTGCATCAGAAGGTCCTTGATGACATCAGTAACAACAACGGAGTGATCTTCTTTTTGGTTGCACTTGGAGGTAACTGGTGAAACTTTTGTAACGGACCTTTTTTTATCTGCAGTGCGATTCCAAAGAAAAGTAGCCCTAGCAGTCGCACCATCTGGAATTGCTGCTAACCGCTTGCTTCGAGGGCATACAGCACACGGCACCTTCAAACTTCCATTGGATTTGAACTACAAGGAAACTCCTATTTGCAACATCAAAAGAGG